CGGCTGCGGCTGCCGCCGGGATGGGGAGCGGCCGGGATAGGGAGCCGTGCGGACCGGGAGCCGCCCGGGTAATGGCTCCTGCCAGGGCTGAGCGGGGGAAGCCGGCGCTGCCGGGGATCTCGGCCCCGCTCCCGGCTAAAGCCGCCCCGAGAGAGGCCCCCTCACCGGCGGAGGCTGGAGGAGCCTCCCTGTGGAGCTGAGACCACGGCGGGAGAGGGGAAGCGGGGCCGCCACGGGCACCGCATGAACCTTCATCACCGCTCGTGTCTGTCTCCCACAAATTGGGTGCCTGGCTGCTTAGGTTCCGAGCGCCAGGACCGCGGCCCTTCTGCCTCGTCCGCGCCGTGCTCGCGCTGCCCCGGGTAGCGGCAGCATTGCTGGATCACCAGCATGTCCGGCCTGTCTGCCGCTCCTGCCCGCGAGCGCGGGGAGCGGCTGGCGCCCCAGGATGTGGCCGGGAGCGCGGGGCCCTCCGCCACCCGGCACATCCTGGAGCGGCTGCCCGGTCACCTCGGACGAGTGCAGTGCCCTTTTCACAGCACCCATGGACTCCATTCAGCTTGGAGACTCCCAGGTCTCCCTTGCTGTAAAGTTTCTTGCTGACATTGATAACATTGTTTATTTCTTTTTGATTTTCCCCCTTCCCTGCTGTCCGATGGAAACTGTATGGGTTCATGCTGTCATCTTAATGATATCTTTCCCAAATAGCATGCCTCACATTTAGCCATAGTATCAGTATCAACCTTTTTCTGGATAGAATAAAAGTCTCGTCATGCATGTCTGCATTTAGACGGTTAAATAAGATGGCAAACTGTTGAAAACATAGAGGACTCGGTAAGTGACATTGAATTGAGGGCCAAGAGCCTGGTGTTTGGCCCTGGCACAGGCTGCCCAGGGAGGCTGGGGAGTCTCCTTCTCTAGGGATCTTCCAAACCCATCCGGATGCGACCGGGTGCACCGTGTTCTGGGTGTCCCTGCTGGAGCAGGGAGTTGGACTGGATCATCTCTAGGGGTCCCTTCCAACCTCAGCCCTTCCGTGATTCTGTCTTTTCAATGCTGTCTTTAAAGCAGAGGTGCCGGGAAGCAGTGGAATGAGTTACGTTTCTGAGGTCTCTTGTAAAAGGAATTCCTAAAGGGTTAGGATCAATGGTTCGTTTTTCAAACACATTTCTTTATTTGAAGTTCTCTAAATCACATTTCTAAGAAATCCTAGGTAAAAATGTCTTTCAGCTTTCAGGTTAGCAATTTTCAAACGGTGGATTTGAATATAATTAAATGAAATTAATTCCCAGAAAGATACTAAGGTCTTACTGAGTTTTAACACATATTGTAGAATTATTAACAGAAAGAAATTTTTCCGTGCCAGAAGTTATTTTAACGCAAAGGATGGAAGTTTAACTATATGGTATATAGATAATGTGTAACATTTATTCAACTAGAATTTGAGGACAAGTAAATTTATTTTGAAAAATATTTTGTAAGATTTAAATCAAGCAATTTAGCTCTTTAGGCATAAAATTTGTCAAGAGAAAAGATCATATTGAATTATTAATAAAGATGAAACGTATCCATCAAAATTATTTTACACTAGCGCCACAGCCCAAAGGCAGAAATCTTCCCTCACATTTCTATAGAGAAATGACATCTAGAATGAAGAGGCTTTTGGTCTGTGTGGGTAGCTGCTGTGCCAGGGGGGTGTTCCGGGGAATTCGGTGTTAGGCCCAGGTCCTTGGGGGCTCTTTTACTGGTTTGTAAATTGAACAAATACCTTTCGCTGTGGAGCAAACATTGCTTGTAGGTTGTGGAATGGGGCCGGGTTCAGTTTCTTACTTGGTTACCTGCCTGCAGGCTTTTGGGGAGGATGGTCACTCATGCTGGCATCACCTTCTGTAAATACATTTTTTTAAAAATGTGTTTACACAGTAGGAAATAAAAACTTAGTTAAAAGCTTATGACATTTCCCCTATCTCTGTCTGCTTTCAGTCTTCCTGATGCCAGTGGATTTAATGTTTAACATAGTAAAGGGAAAGCATGATCTCAGTGTCCTTTTCCTCTCATTCTCTGACTCCTTAATTACATTTACAGTTAATTATACAATGAATTTTGTATTGACCTTTCGGGGACCTTAAAGCAGCTGTCAGTGAACGCAGAATCTCCGTGTTTGTTTCCATTAGCCATTATATGAATTTATCACAAATTCTTTTAGAGCTAAGAGTGACCTATAGATGATTAACAAGTAACAGCCCATACATGTATGTATGTATATGTTATCTGAGTATGTGTGTACGTGTAGGTTCACTCTTTAACGTAGGTGTCCTGTTCTCTGCTAAAAATCCTGCATTTAGATCAGATCCCCTTGGAGCTTAACCAAGCGTGACGCTTGTTTCTCAGGTTGAGGTGTCTCTGTTCCCATGGCGGGGACCTAATTTGAGAGCCGGTTTCCCAGATACGGAGAGGAATGGGTAGAATCCAGGCAGAATCCGGGCAGATCCCGCCTGGGCGCAGGGCTGAGGTTGTGAACGTCGTGTGGCCTGGGCAGTGAAATGAAGGAACGTCAGTGCTGCCCACTAGGCTCTTAACCACCTCCAAGCCTGCTAGTCAGCCTAACTTTGGGGTTTGTGACTTATTTCTCGTTTTCTACAGCTGGACACTATAATGAAGCCATTGTCTTATATTACCAGTAATATTTTTAATAGTTGTTCCCTAGAGAGCTTTTGGGAGGAAGGCATGTCCTGCAGGAGCCTTGTGTAGGTGAGCTCCTGAGTCTAACCATATGTCTGCTAATGCAAGGCAAAATATGTACTGGGGAGAAAAAGCTGGGCTGGGAGGAAAAGGAGGCATGTATGTGATCCGAGATTGTGTTCTTTCTTCCTGGAAACTGTTTTGTGCTGGCAGGGAATATTTAGTGCAAACTCAGTAATTCATCGTCTTTTGTGTTTTACCAATGAATATGCAAACCAGTATCTCTCCAGTTCATTATCCACTTCTTTAGGAAGTATGCATGAATCTGTAGGATTTCTGGAAGATGGTGAATACTTATAAATATTCAACAGTGCTAAATGCCTTACTGTAACCGTGTGTGTTCTCGTAATCCTAAGGAAATTGTAGATGCTGATGAGATCCAAATGCTTGAGGACATACCCTCAAAATTGTGAAACCCTCTGCAGCTTCATCCTGGTTACACTCTGATTGTGCATGCAAAAATGTGCGGAAAAGTTGACCCTGGAATCTCTGCTCAGGCTTCTGTGAGGCCTCTTTCTGGTAGGAATTGCTACGAGAAGCAGAAACTAAGGCCTCAAAGGGCCGTCTTGGGTGAGCTTGCAAATGCTGCCAGGCTTTATGTGGAACTGACTCCAAACCAAAATGATCTGCTACCTGCAGGGCTTTCGCTCCGTGTTCTGGCGGATCGGCACCGCGGATATTGTTTTTCACCTGCTGTGGATGGTTTAAACAAGGATGTAACATTTCCTTAATAGGACTGGCCTGTGGAAAGAAACACACAGCAGGATAAGCAAACTACAAATTCATTTCAAACCTCAACAGCAGAAAGGTTCAGTTGCTGCAAAAGAGGAGCACAGAGATAAATGATTCGAAGAAGTGGGAATCCAGGGCAGCTAAGTGGCTTATGCAATTCATTTGTGGAGAAGCGTAAGGCAAGCTTAGGGACAAAAGGAATAGTGCAAAGGAAAGAAAAAGAAATATACCCTGAGCATTACAAAGTATAAAACGATTTTGCTGGGATTTAAGAGCAGATAAAACTTTGTCTCTGACAGCTTGGGCATGGTGCTTAATACAGTGGAAGGAGCAAACAGGAGCCTGGCAGGAGCAAGTGAAAAGGTGTCAGAAAAGCTGGGTGAGCCGGGGGGCTACAGCTCGCGAAAGGCTGGCGAGAGAGACCCCGTCTGACAGGAACGGCCCCTGTTTCCAGTGAGCCTTTGTGTGGCCTTTAGACAAGACCAGGTATCCCCAAAGCTGAGGATGAAACGATGAAGAAGCAGCTGCAGGGTGAAGGAGAGCAGAAGCCAGGGAAACTCACCTCCTGTGGCAGGAAGGAAATCCCATTGGATTGCAGTGGAAGGGAAGGAAGCCCCAGGCTGAGTTAGTGACTTGCAGCCCCCAAGGCAAGGGCAGCTTGGTGCCCTTTGGCTTGGCGTGTGCTGCCTTCTGCTCTGGGGCCACTACAACACCCCGTAAATGAGGCCTGACAGCCAGGTTTAAATAAATAAATATGTAAACAGGGGCCAGGCTTTTGAAGCTGGAGACTGCGCTGAGGCTTGTTCATTCTGGGGAAGCTGTGTGGCTGATGCCACCCAAATTGTTGCTTTTCCAGGGTAGTCTTTGATGTTTTATGTGCAATAAATTCATTTGCATGTCAGTGCTTTATGCAATATCTGTAAATGGGCAAAATGCAGACAACAGATTTTACTTAGTACAAAAGTGAGAGGCAAGATGAAAATTAAATAGCTGTTAAACCTTTCCTTTGGAAAAGTATGTGTGTGTATAAATGTATATACACACACCTGTGTGTGTATTTGCTTATAAAATAGTTGCATTCACCGGTACCAGGTTTTTGCAGATTTGTCATAGCACAGTCTACCATGAGAAAAACCGGTTATAAATTCCCAAGGTTTAAGAAGTAAAGAGAACATGTAGATTTTGAACTTCATGATTTTTTAGCTGTTGTGATGAGGAAAATGCATTGCTTTCCTTGTAAATGCAATGAACATTAAAACAGAGGGAGAATAAATAAGGAGACTGCCGTGCCGGTTTATCTAGGAGGCTTCCTGAGCAGGACCATGCTCTGCTGGAAGACTTGCTTCCACTCTGCACTGAAATGTCATATTAAAGAGAGAAAGATATTTCCATGATAACAGTCTCAGAAAAGAGCATCACCGCTTCCCTCCTGCCTTTTGTCGATTTGCAGTTATTTTGGCAACATGCTATGGAATCTGTGTTTTCAGAAGCCAGTGCCAGCTGACACGCATGTGCATGGAGAACACTGCTGTGAAGTTCAGTGATGGGTCTTGGCATGTAAATTAGAAGATCTGTGTGAATACAGAGACTGTCTGGGAAAGAAGAAAGGGAGGAATCCCGCCTTTCCCTCCGGAGTGGGAGCCCAGTGAGAGTTGTGTGTGTCGGTGGTTGCTGCTCATGGGTGTGAGTACTTACGGCTTCTCTGAAGTCTTGAGTACTATATAGCATGATGACTATGAAACTGCAGAACTTATTCTGAAAAAAACCCCATATATTCCATTAAAAAAAACACTAGGGGAATGCATTATTTAGCACATCACTTCATGATGGTGTTTAGTCTGAAGCCAAATATAGCTTCAGTTGTAATTATATGTGTGCTTTACCAGTGGGGCCGCCTAAATGGATCTCAAAGCTTTGCTGAGGACAGTGTTTAATATTAGACTGCTTTTCTATTACTTTCAAAATCACTTTGTTTCTAACAACGTGAACTGACAGCAGAATGAAAATATGTCCCACCCACTTAGGGTATTTTGCTCTTTCATTTCCCTTTAGTTGCCCCTTGATTAGCAACGTGCCTTGTGAGGCCCTTGATATAGCTGTTGTATTAAACAGGAACCAACATCCAAGTGCATTTAAGCTATTGCAGCTGTGAGCCTGTGGGGCAGGAGTGCGAGGATGGAAGCAGGTGAAGAAGAGCAGGGCTTAGTGCTGCTGGTAAGATAGTCATTTATAGAGTAAATGAGCAGCCACACTCAAGTGGCTGTTAGGAAGGCTGGACGGGACCTTGGGCCTCCCTAGAAGGTCTTGTAATGTGCATGGATGAGGTGAGATGAGAAATACAGGGAGCTGAGCATGTTGGTACTCCTATTTTATGTGCGCTTGCAGGTGAAATTAGGAGCTTCCATGAGTTGCATAATGTCTACCTGTACTTGTGGTATGTAATACTCCAAATTTTATTGAGTGAAGACGGCCTAGTGATGTTAATTCAGTCACAAAATCTTATCAGTGGTGTGTGAGAGCACTGTGTGGACAGGCAAAGGTTTGACAGGAAAATGGATTTGGGGTCTTGTTTGGAGAAACTGAGATGAAAGGCCAGGGAGTTCGCCCTGTTCCGCTCCTTCCTCCCCCTGCTTCTGTATCAATATCTGCTGGGCATGTAGTTTTCTCAGGCTGCTTTATTCCCTTGCAGGAATGAACTGCCTACGTGCCGTGTAACTGCACGGCTGGGGCTCGGGAAGAACCCCTCGGGTCCCTCATGTAAAATGAGCTGGATAGCAAAGATGTGCTGATTTTAGGTTGAGTGGAGTTCCCCTAAGCTGAATCTGAAAGTCTTAAGTAGTCGTAAATAGCAGAAAAATGGCAATTGTGCTGTCTGGAGATAGAACAACTGAGAAGTGGAGTAGCAAAAAAAAAAAAAGCAAAACAAAACAAAAAAACAGCTATTAAAATGGGTGCATTAGAAGGAATAAGATCAACTGCTATAATGTTTCCTGTGCAGCAGGCGTACTTAGTTGCTCTTGCAGATTAAGCTCTTCCCATTACAGCAAAACACTATTGAAAGGGCTGAATAGCTTGCCTAGCGGAGCAGCGTATAATAATATCAGTGTAATTAAACTTCCACTAGCATTTCTATGATAAACATATCTGCAGGGTCATATAACAGCTTTCAAATATTTTTATTCTGAGCCTGCAGTATATGCTATACCATGATTTGCCTTTCATCCAAAGACTACAGTGTGAAACTGCTTGTACTGGTAGAGCTTAGAGCAAAATACATCTTCCAGTGTCCTTTGGACTACAGTGAGTCCTTGCAGGCTGCCCTGGCGGTTTGGAAAGGGGAGCTGAATATGTGGGGACAGTGAAATCACAGAGGTCGTGTGCAATAAGAGCCTTATCCCTGCATGATTAAGTAGTTAATGCTCAGAAGAAGGCAGGGAAATCGCAGTGGGCTGACAGGCACCGTCTGATTCCCATTTCATCTCTCCTGCCTGAGGGAGGATGAATTTGATGACAGCCCCTTTCTGTCCAAGGGCAGCACTAAAAATCTCTTGGGGTTAAGAGGATTGACCTGCCACTGTACGTGCATCTGCACATGTGGGTGGGCAGATGTTGCTCTCTGCATTCCCCTCCTTCATCTCAGAAGGCATGTGCAGAAGGTTGCTAATTCATAGATGTGGCAAGAAAGAAACTCGATAAACTTCGATTTTTGCACGCTCTGAGTGCTTGAAGTGACTCAGTCCTCCTCTTTATGAAGGAAGAACAAATAAAAAAATTCCTGTATGAGTTTTCTTTCTTTTTTCCCCCCTCTGAATCTACAAAAAGCAGTAAGAAATAGCCCACATGGTACTGCAGTTTGTTTGGAAGCGATATACGTGACAACAGATGCACGAGAGCAATGCTTGTGGCGCATGCCTGTGTCTGCTTGCCAAGGACTTGCGGCAACGTAAAAACACCCTCACATTGCATCAAAATCCCAGAAACTCGGTTACGATGGGGATTGGAGCATCCGTGAGTGTGGAGTGGAGCGGCGGCTGCGGCGCACGCTGCCATCGAGTGCCACCGCGCGTCCGCGCGCGGCCACGGCAGAGCCCCGCGCTCCCTGCCACGGCAGCCACCGCGCCGTTCTGCCTGCACCGCTTCCGTGCGTGCACCCTGGAGCGCGTGTGCTGCAGCGGGGGTGTCAGAGGCGACTTCTCAGGCCCTTGGGGTTTTTATTTTAGGTTTTTTTTCAGCTTTACTCTTTAAATGGGATGGAGGGAAACATAGAAAGTTGCTCAGAAAGAGCATTTGGAGATTTGGGATTTGGACGCACTGTGTTACGGGTTCCCTGTACATGCCCCGTCACACAGAAGTGTTTGGAAATGTCCCTCTTGTGCCCATGGGCAGGTCTGCAGGGGTGTTTTGGGCAGGCTCCGTGACGCCTGGACTTGGCCGTCCCTCCGCGAGGGTTGGTTTGTGCCGGGGTGACAGGACTGCAGAGCTTTGCGTGGCCCGGCCGCGGGGCTGACCAGGACCAGTGTGGTGGCAAGGCCGGGCGTGAGCCAAAGGAAACGCCGTTCCGGCAGGTCAGCAGAACAAAGTCAGGAAACCCAGAGAGGGCAGGAAAAATCCTGGCTTTTTTATTACTCACAAAAGGGCTTTGCTGTCGCTGTTTACCTTTCCTGTTCCTCATGCAGACTGCAAGGGTATCTTTGCTTGCATCTTGGTTTTCTGTATTGCTTTTTCTGTAGACCGCATTTAGGCTAAAATCACTTGCTCAATTCCTGGTGAGATTTGATGACGCTTGATGCAACGATAAAATTGTGATAACTTCTCTACGTGAACGATGTGGCTTTGGTGATTTTTTGCAGTTCAGGAAGTTCAAATTAGCTGTTTCTTTCAGTTCAGGAAGCAGGATTCCACAGCAGCTTCATTTTTCACACCCCAAATGTTGAAATAGTTATAAAAATTTATGAAAGAGAAGTAGGGTTTTTTTTTTCTTAGTCCCACCTGAAACATAATGGGACTAAGTAGAACTTATTTCTAACCACAGAATGTGCCTGCATGGGTACCAGTGCTATGAGCACCTCCCCTCCAAGTGACACATACGTGGGAGTATCAGAAGTGGCACCATTTGCAGTAGCTGCAGGTAGAGCTCCAAAATTCAGGGCTCTTTCCAGGCCTTGCCCTGTCTGGAAGGAGGTACCTGTGTCTGGGCAGGTCTGGTTGTGAGGGTGCAGAGAAAAATTGAAGAGAGAAATAAGGAGCTGAACCAGAAGATATTCCTCCCCCTCAACCCCCCCCTTTTATAATTAATGTTTTTATTTTTCCAGGTTTTGCCATTATGTTCCTCGGAACGTGTCCCACGGGGCTGGCAAGCAGAGGGGTAGCTGCGCAGCCAGGCTGCACCGTTGGGCTTTCCCTCTTCCCTACTCTTCCTGACAGCTTTCCAAAGAGCGGGACAGAAGGGCTTTGGCAGAAAGTCCGTTTATGAATCGGTGTCTAATTTAGGTTTCATTTCAGTGTAGCTTGCAGTGTTTTTGTGGCTGGATTCACGCTAGCCTGAAGTCTGACTTTGTGGGTCTTTGTGGAGCTCACTAGTAACAGGACACCCAAACTTGCAGTTCACTTTTATGTAATTTAAAAACAAATGTACAGTAATATAAAAAGAAAACATCCAGTGCAAACTTTTTATACAGTGGAAATCAATGCAATGTTCCTTAGAACGGCTTTATAAAACAGATTTTAAAATAGCGATTACAGGTAATACAATTGAGATGATGCTAACTGAAGTACTTTATTTACTGCACTAAATAATTTCCTAACTAACTTTACCTGTTTATTGCCAATATCTTAATTACTGATGAAAAAACATAAAAATGTAAGTATTATTAGTTAGAATTCTTTATAACATACTAACATGGAACCTCAATAGCATACAGTGTTGACTGAATTAAACAAAATAAAAATGAAGCCAACAAAAATAAACTGAGGCTGTATTCCCAGCATGTGCTTCTCTAACAAATGGTTTGATTAAAAGCTGATCTGATTGATAGACAGGATTCTACTTTTTTTTTTTCCCCTTTGGTTTATATTTAAAAATTGGAGTGATTTGAATTATTGATGATAATATGCATTAGTGTCCTATTAAATGTGGTGTTAGGCAACTTTTTATAGTAACGGAGGACCAAGATGAGCCCGTGTTCTAGTGCATTGCTGTCTCCTGCTGGAAAGCCTCTTTGGGGCAAGGGAGCGTGAATTAGAGATGTCACTGATAACGGAAGAGCCAAGTTGTGAGGTTCCACTACTCTAGTTTTAAAAAAGAGGGATTTAGTGTTATCTGGTTAGCTACCAAAGGTGAATAACCGAAAGCCCTCGGGCAGGGCCCCGCGGTGCCGCTGCCGTTGCGCTGGGCGCCGGCAGGGCCGGGCCCGCACAGGCCTGCGGCCTCCTGCCGCGGAGCCTGCTGCCTTCCCTGGGGAGGGGAAAATACCCGTTTTACAGTACCTGCTGAGAGAGAGTCCAAACAGATTCACAGTAATGAGGCCTTTTGTTTGTTTGTCCCTGCAATAATAACATTCCGTTAATAATGTTGAGTAGAAAACTTGCTCGGCCTTTTTAGAGATCTGGAGAGACCTATGTTGCAATCTGGAGATATCTACGGTATTGAAGTCTTAGTATTTCCCTGACCTCCAGGTTTCCTGCCCCGCAGGATACATGCGAGTGGGTAGTACTGAGGTCCTATTTACAGAAAGGAAAAAAAAAAATTACTTCTAGCTAGAGGAATTACAGCACTCTTGGAAGGTACCTGAAATCATCATCAGGCTGTTAAAATGACAGATGAAACCAGATTGTGCCTCTAAAAATCCTCTCTAGTTTTATCTTCAGTAATTCAAACTTTTAGTAGAAGACTATAAAGCAAAAATAATTCATAGATTGAGAAGAAGAAAAAAATCATGCCTCTTCTTGGATTTGATGGAACAATTTCTAATATTAAGTGATGGACCATATGCTCTTCCTTACCTCTGCTGGGTAAGTTTAAGCATGGAATATGAATGGAGGATGTTACAGGAGGGCCAGGCAAACCGGTGGGCCTGACACAAGGAGGTTGTAGAGATGCCACCAAGCGTCTTCCCAGCGGGTGCTGTTCCTGAATGCATGTTGATTAAAAGAATACAGGAGGAGGAATGAAGAGGAAATTGTAGATAGAGCCACCTTTTAAGGAGGAGTGTTCACCTGGGTGGGCAGTTGTGTCCTAGAAGACTCAAGCAGGTCCCCGAGCAGCAATCTGGGGAAGGAGCACAATGCTAGAAGGGATAGCAATGCTAGGGGAAGTCAGTAAATTTGACTTGTGTATTTCTTTTTATCCCTGCTGCTGTCAGCAATTTTTTTCTTGTTTTTCTGTTAGAAATCCTATTACTGCTTGGGTAAAAAGCTGTGAATCCCTCCTTGGCCTTTGGAAGGCTCTTGATGTCTATCTGTAGCAGGTAGGAGAAAACTGGCTAATTAGAAGATGGCTAATTTGAATTCAGTACACAAAATCTTCATTTGGTTCTGACCCATAAAGCTCAGCTAACATTTTAAACCTTGGTCCCCAGTCATTTAGAAAGTCATAATCAATATCTGAATCTGAAGAGCCCGATTCCAAAGAACTGAGAGACTCTGCGATGGACTCAGCACCTTCGTAGCCGTAGATGTGGAGCGTGTCATAGGGCAGCAAATCCCTGTCATTGTCAGCCTCATCCTTCTTAACTTCAATCATAATTTCCATTTCTCCAGCACCAGAAGTTACATTTTCGGGAGGTTTTTGAATCTGTGCATATGGAGAGGGCACTGCTTCTGGCTTTATACCATTCTTGCGGACAGAGTTGAGTACAGACACATCATAGCTCGTGGTGTCCATTTCACCACCACCTTCTTCATCGTAGGTGACAAGCTGCTCGTGGATCTCTGCCACGTTCCTTCCGAGGCCGCTCAAGTCCTTCTTGTGTCTCTTTCTTAGCAGAATTAGCAATACAATTACTACAAAAAAAAAGAAAAGAAACAAAGGTATCAGCAAGTGTAAAATAGAAGTGTAAGCAAACAGAGTGAACAAGTTGCATTTCGAATATATAAAGTCTGAAGGTTAGTTGTGCTTTTTTTCCTTGAAGGGAAAGAAATACAGGATATTGTAGAATTTCTGGGTTCTGAAAGCAGTTCCGTCTGTACAGGAATTGTGACTCTTGAACCAGAGTCACAAGTTCAGATGAGTAGTGCCATGAGTTCATTGAATAGCTCCATCAGCCATTGCCTTGATCAATAAATCATTTCATGGCAGGCATTAAATCCTGTTAATACTGTGGTACTTGTGGTGGGGACATTTTTCTAAAGTGACAAAAACCTCCAAAATTCTCTAGCAGATTTCAAACCCAGCAAATAGCTGATCTACCAATTTATTACAGATGTATTTATGTTCACTGGGCAGTTTAAAGGCTGTCTGGACTACTTTAGCCTTTGGAAACAAGAATCCCGTTGTTGCTGCGCTGGCACAAATTTCCTTTTTTACACCTCTGTGTGAGCCTGGAAATAATGAATCAAGTATATTATGTATACCTGCAATAACTTTTCCAATAAAATAAATACAGTTTAGTAGTTGAAAATACGGTAACAGGCCAGGTAAAAAGAGCCAGTTAAATGATTCAAATGAGAATATTTCTGCTTTCACAGCCATTTTATAGGATTTTATGGACTCGATTAAAAAAACAAAATTTCCCCACATTTGAAGTCAGAGAGCATTACAAAAATCAGGTACTTACTAATGATTGTGATGATGCAGGCGAAAATTGCTACCAGTGCTTGAACACTAACTCCGACTTGTGTAGCTCTTTCCTCACAGAAAGTGAAGTTCCCTTTTTCATTGCACTTGCAGACACTGATGACCAACGTGTTGGTGCTGCTGAGGTCAGGATCGCCGTTGTCTGAGATGATGACAGGCAGGTAGTGGAGTTTTGCAAGTTCACGATTAAACTGCCCATACTTGACAGTGATATTCGCTGTGTTATCTGGAAGAAGTAACAACATGTACTTAAGTGATAATCTCCACCTGATTTTCCCTATAGATACGTCATCTAGATTGGTGTATCATCTGCGGAGATAGAGCAAGCCTTTAGGGAAACCAGTGAAACTTGGGTGGTGCTAAAACCTTTTTTCAGTAGATTAAGCCTTTGAAATAGCAATAGCTCAGCTGGACCAAAGTTACGTTAGAGCTTCAGCCTTTCTGCCCTGAGTCCTAGTGTTGCACTCTGGCTATCTCAGAAATCCTTTGCAGGGATACGTTACCGTAGTTCTCGATCAGAGAGAAGTTGCTGTCTTGTGTGGCCAGGGAGTATCTGAAGAAACCTGCAGGTGAAACTTCATCCTTGTCGGTGGCTGAAATCCTAACAATTACCTAGAAAGATGGAAGAGAGGATTTTTGGGATGCATTGCCTCCGGTGGTAAAAAGGCTTACAGCAACTAAATTAGAGCTAGGCTGAGTATCCTGTGTAATATTTTCAGTAAAGGACAAGATAAAGATGTTCATGATGCCCCTCTTACAGTTCTTCCAAGTGAAGCTGAAAAAGCACCGTCTTTCCCCTAAAATAGTCATTTAACGTACTGACAAGTAGGAGGCAAAAGACAAAGTCTTGGATAATTAAAGCATAAAAAGACCTCTTATACTAAAAATGATACATAATGAATGTTTGAGATGGCCATCTCCTGAAGTCTAACTTATTTAGAGATGTGAGTCCAAGTCATTGAATGTCACTGACATTTCCACTCCGAAATGATCTTAAATTTATGTGTCTGATCCCAAACTTCTGAAAAAACAAATGCTGAACAACTGTATGCAAGCAGTTGTCCTGATAAGTGCCACTGTAGCGTTACACGTGGCAAGTGCTGAGCCTTGCTTTGCAAGGCTTGATTTTATTTCATAGTTCCATTGCTAATGCGTACACGTACTCACAAGCCTGGAGGGGAGGAACTGTGCAGTTCCTGTGGGTAAGCAGATAAATGTCTATAGCTTAGCAGTCCTAAAGAAAGACTTCTGACCTCAGACAGTTTGGAAATTGCTGAAAATATATTCAGGTCAGGTGTTTGGCTGTGAAAACTGAGACTAATTATTTAAGAGAAGACATGCTTTGCTTACACTTGCAAGTAGATAATTCACAAGTAAGAAAAAAAACCTCCTGCCTTACCTTTCCTGGTACAGCATTCTCACACACTCGCGGTTCCTCAAGATAAACGAGCTCTGGAGCATTATCATTTACATCAATAACGGTGACGTGGACTTGAGCGTGTGATTCTCTGTCAGAAAGCCTGCCTGAAAAGAACCAACACCAGCACTCGTCACAGAATCATTATAGAATCATTATGTTTGGAAAAGACCTTCAGTATCCTTGAGTCCACGTCACTTAGATGTGAGGAATCACAGGGATATGTTGGTACTTTCTCCCCTTGCTCGTGTCCGCCTGTGTGCCTGCTATGTGATGAATTAAGAGAGTTCCTAGCTCCATCCTTCAGTCTGACTTTCCTTGGATAGATTCCAAGTATTTCCTAGCAACTTTCATACTGGACTATATTATCCAGACTTTGTGAGGAAGAAAAGATAAAAATGGTAATTGCTAATGGCTTCTTGACCTTCAGCCTCTGTGGCTGTGGTGTCCAAGATCACCCCTCGGTGCTAAGGCTGCTGGCACAGAGGCCAGGGCAGGTCCTGGCCCTGGCGCAGACGCTGTCACTCAGTGTTTAAGATTATTGTATACAGCCTATGAGCATCCGCTTCGCTTGGACTTAGTCCAAGTGAACTGACTGTCGGGTTGAGGCATTTCTTTTTGATCAGCTATAGTCTTGTTGTAAAGTCAAATTCTTATTTCTTTCACAGAAGAAAGTGAGTAAAAAAAAAGTAAGAAAGTACTTACCATCTTCAAGGACTTCCTGAGCTGCTACTGTTATGTTGTAGGAGGCACTGAATTCTCTGTCCAGAGGTTTAGGAATCTGGATAATTCCAGTATCAGATACTCTAATGTAGTCTCCATTAGGACTGGCTCTTCGGCGACTATATCTGTTTTTTGTTTAAAAAGTGGTATGTTAATACAAAGGTTAAGGGCAAAAATGTCTTAGTTTACATGTCAAATTCTTGGGATCATTAATAATTTTTCAATTTTCAAATAAAATTACCATGTTACCATGTTAAAAATGCCATGTTACCTGATTTTCCGTTTAGCTGCATCAGGATCATGTGCCCAAACCGATCCAAGTGTTCGCTTTTCTGGATCATTTTCCCTCACTTTAAATTTATATGGCAGTTTAGTGAAGACAGGAGGCTCGTCAACATCGATAACTTCAATGGTAACTGTTGAGATGCTCCTAGAACCACCAGATTTAAAATAGCGGAGATCAACTGTGGGATCTGTTGCTTCGATGTCAAACCTGTATTCAGCAACTTTTTCGAAGTCCAGGGGCTAGAAAAAGAAAAGACAAACAGATATTCTCTTATGTTGATGTCGGCTGGCTGGCTGTCTGTGCAAACTAAAGCTCTGTGCTTGGCTTTTCCTTTGCAAATGCTGGCAAATTCCAGTTACGTTCTGGGGAAAGCACTTCCTCCCTGACCTGCCCTGTCTTCAGCAGGGAGGCTTGAGCAACTTCTGATTTTGAACAAGCGTGTTCAGCATTCAAAGTTCAGCAAAACTTCTTAGTTTACATAATTTTCTTTTTTTTATTGCTATATCAATGGGCATCCTTCAGAGGCTCTGATCAATCTCCCCCAAGGCTAAAGCTGACTGATTGCTAGTTTAACTCCTTTGTCTTGCAGGCGAGGGCCTGATTCTGTTCCTGCTGGCCAGACTTTCTGTTCTGCAGTCGTCCAGGGCCGATTTCCTGGCTACACTGACCAGTAGCTGGGACAGGTAGTGACTAAACACCATCCCCTTCCTTCTGGATAAGCACATTGCATGTCGTGACTTGCAGGCATTTCCACTTGTACTCCTGCTCCTACGCAGAATCACCCTTGTTACAAAGGAAAAACAAGACAGTGATTTTTCTGTTACTGGGGCAAGTACCTTCTTTGGCCTAATGATTCCTTCGTTTGTGAACGGATTTGCTACAATTTCAAAGGTGTCCCTGTAATTTCCTCTGACAAAACTGTATTTTGTATTTCGATGTTGTGGTTCATCAATGTCTTCCACTTTGACTCTGCCAACCTCTCCTCCTACTGAAACGTTTTCAGGAACTTTGAAGTGAAACGATGCTGTTAAAATAAGCAAAAAAAGAGTGTACGTGAAAGTTAGTACTTAGTTAAAATTGTTCTTGATTTTTAGACATGTGTAACTATTTCGCTGAGAATTATGAGCCTCTACAGTCACTTTGTACAAAATCTTGACCATGTTTAGAGCTAATCAGACTTTCATAAAAAAATCATCAAAAATACAAAGTGATAAAGTTAATATCAGTGTTTTTCTGTTCTAGGGGTGCATCAGCTGAGTTAATGTAGCCTCCTGCTTTTTACTTACGGTGCTTGAATACTGGGAAGTTGTCGTTGATGTCGCTTAGAGTGATAATGACCGTAGCAGTGCTCGAATCCCCAGAAAAGCCTGGGCCATCTTTTGCTTTAACAATAATTTCATATGTTGATTGATTCTCTCTGTCCAAATCAGCCCTGGTTGTAAAAATCACACCTTAAAAAAAAAAAAAAAAGCAGCATTGAGAATGATTAGATTTTGCAGCGTGTCTGAATTCTCAATTTTGACAGTTAATTTTGCTTTAAGTAGCATTTTTAACAGTATTTTTCTAATGCTAGAAATGCTAGAAATCTTTCTATTTATTGGCATATTTGAGAGATTTTGTAGAATACATTCCTTTGGTTTGCTTACAAGGGATACTGACATTTTTAAGACAAACTTTAAGGGGAAAATTTAGGGACAAAAAGTGGTAAATTAATGATTATAAAATTGGAAACCACATATCAAAATCAAACCAATAAAATGCACATCAGCCTGTATGCAGTGACCTGCTGCAGGTCTCAGCTGGTTTCAAAGGGAAAGCCAGTGTTTAGAAATATCTTTCTAAATCACAATCGATAATTGAATTTGTAACTTAGTCGTCACCTTATCCAGAAAGAAAAAGGCCTAAAGCTGTGTTTCCTTATGAAGCATAAGATAGAAGTTTGACATTTGCATATGTGACCTACCAGAGTCATCGATTGTGAAATATTCGTCTCCCTTAATGACTTGGTAGGTAACCGTGGCATGTCCTGTCACTGTTGGGTCATCAGCATCTACAGCTGTCACTTTGGTGACCGAGGTTCCTAGAAAAGAGTTACCCAGATAATTCTCAGATTCTGCTCTTTAATCAGGGTCACAAAGGGAAAAGAGTGACTGAAGAACGTACCTACTGGTGACATTTCTGGGACAGAGCCATTGAATACCTTTTGTACAAACACCGGGGCGTTGTCGTTAATGTCGTAAACCTTGATAATGAATTTAGATGGGGCTTCCAGTGACTGGTTGTTTCTCTTGTCGATAATGAGAGCTGTCAGCTCATACTCTGCCTTTTTTTCTCTGTCTAGCCTCTCAAATGCATATACATCACCACTGTCTTCCTCCACTTGGAAGATGATGTTGGCATATTCACCCTCAAGAATATACTTAGCGTTGCTGTTCCTTACACTTGACATGATCTGGAAAGCACAAGACAAAGAGGTAAAAGGGAGCTTTGTCACCTGGATGCAGAACAGTTTTAAATAGATGGTGCAGGTAATCCAGACCCCTGTCAGATTCAGTGTGAGGCCAGAATAGCCATCAAGAAGTTTGGTGGCTGCTGGAGCATTGCTCAGCACACAGTAGCTACTTCACTGCAGCCTATATCCAGGCCTGTAGGATGAAACTTGGATCTAGATGGAAACTTGCTTGCTTATAGACTAGTGTTTCTTCTTGCTTTTATTATGTATCACAGTCCCTAAAGATATAAATTGTGCAGTTATAGATGCAAGTGTTAACCTTGTTATTGTATTTAAATGCTGCCCTGTCTATTTCAGCTGTTCTTGTTTGCAAGAAAGAGCTGAGAGCTGCCTAGGTCTCACTGGATTAAGGTATGGTATCCATAATCCCAGCTGTTGACGTTATTCAGCATTATTAGGTATTGCTTAGCATTCAGCAGAACTCCTACCATAGACAGCAGCTTTCTTGTCAGTAGTCATATGTAGTTCCTTTATGATCAATATTTTAGACTTATGCTAATGACAATAAGATTAAATTTTTACCTCCTAGGGCTTAAATTTTAAGATGATGTTCAATGGAAAAAGGCATGGGGTAAAAAGAATAAACATTAATCAGTTTATAAGAGTAATTTAATCCAATTCCAAATGGTCTTGTACATTATTTTGTTTGATCTGGGTGTAATCAGATAGTTCTTCCATTACTATACTTTCACTTATCTCAGTGCACTGATAGCAGGCTTAAAACACAATTTTCTGTGCAATATATTAGCATTCTTATTTCAGCAGACTATTTATTGATAATTGCAGGTTTGACCAAGATTTTCTAGTCTTTTGTTACTGATGTTATCATAAATTGCAGCTGTTTATTATTCAGGGTTTGATTTATCCTGTAGCTGTCATTTACTGCCGAATATCCTTTCATTTAGGCTTTCTGTTTTGAAATGTGTCTTAAAGATTTTCTCCCCTCATTACACGCATTTAATCAGATTTTGGCTGCTGGGCTTGCTGAAGAAGAGCTTACAGCTGTGGAGATGGGACGTGGGAAATAAGCCCACCTTGGTCTCAAAGATGGGAGCACAGTTTGCTGCCTTGCTCAATTTTGATTTGCTTATTCAGGGTAGCAGAGGCAGACCTTGAAGCCTGCCCTCGCTAAAACTGTGGATGAACCTCCAAAGGTCGCAAAAGATAAAACCAAAACGTAGCAGAGCAAAAGATGAAACCAAAACGTAGCAGGATGTTCCTGCAGCTGCCGCTGGGTTCTGCCGCGCTGCTCCGGGGGCCTCTCTGGAGGCTCTGGCTCAGGGTTGCAGGTGCAACACACAGGGCGAGGGTCCTGCACGAATATGTGCTGCCGAGGGAGGCCAGAGCCCTGCACAGAGCCAGTCACCCTCGTTTAGGGCAGCTCTGGGAAGAGAAACGTTCCCCCCAGTGTCCTGCTGAACTGGTCTGAGAAGAAGCAGAGAGACCCTGGGAGGTGCCCAGGGCGCTTTTCTGCCTCCCTGTTCGCTGTGCTGCACAGAGGGCTGCGTCGCTTTGCTGCGGCAGCCTTGACAGATGCGCGTGGTTGTGTGTGGCAGGAAACAGCACAACTGTATTAGCTGAGAAGTGTCAAACTGGTTCAGTTTGAAAGACTAGGTTGGAGGAACTTTATCTGGCTGATGTGCAGTTAATCATAGGATTTTATGAGTGCTGCCCTGGAGAAAATGAGTTTGCTCACAGGTCAATGCTCATTGCACTTTTTTTTTTTTTTTTTAACAATTAATTGCTTTCACTTTGTGAAACAAAGTTATTCAGTTGTGTAAGATCTGTCCTAAACATAGTATTTTTGGTTTGCATATCTAAGCTGAGATTTAGAAGCTATATTTTCTAAAGCAACAAGCCAGCAGCCGAACAAATACTCCAAGTACACCAAAACTGAACTAACATTACTAAAACTAACATTACTGAGAACAGCTGCATGCAGTGCAACTTGTCCTTCACTCGGGATGCTCCATACCTGCCATTCTCTAAAATTTCTTTGTATTCTTCCAAAGAATTCTAATCTCCTTCACCTCACTCTTGATTTATTCTCTCCTTGTGTTCTTAAGAATGTAACACGTTAAGTCCCATTTCTATTTCCTGGCTTTCCTTCTATTCTGCTGAAAATGCTGACAAGGGGCACTGTTCCAGACACTCATTTGCTGCCTGCACAAGCTTATTATTTACCTTTCCAACATGGTGTGGTAATGGGGTATCAATCTCTTCTTTGATATGCATTTGGTTCCATATCCAGTCTCTTTTAAGTCGTTTATGACTGGTATTGTTTAAAGAAGTAAAGTTTTCTTTTATTTTCTGGCCTTCTTTATAAGCCAAGGCTGGAGCCAAGAACAAGGGGAAAAGTAGAATAAGATTCTTCATCATCTTCTGCAGCCTAGAAAGTAAAATAAAATATGAGAACTGCGTAAATAACATTTACGTCACATTAGCAGAGAGAGCACCCATAGAAAAGGAAAGGGATGTTCCTTCTGTAGGCAATTTGATTACTTTCTATACCTTTTCTTCTGGTCACATTGGAAATATCAAGCTGCTTCCAGCATGAAACCATTATAACCAGGTGATGTGACAATGATGATGGTCTGGGTGGCAGCAAGGCTGTGGGCGAGAGCAGCCCGGGAGGTGACTGTGCCTGCGCCGTGTCCAGGGCTCTGCTCACTCAGCCTGGCCTCGTGTGTTCGGCCTGACAGATCCAAATGCCGTGTTTGGACTTTCCCTGACACAAAATGTGCTTTATTCGACATCTGATATGGAAAATATTGATTTGGAATAAAACCTGCCTTTTGATGGAAAAAAAATTATTCATGTGAAATTTTCAATCAATTCCAAGTACAATGTAGAAAATTATCTTGCTCAAAGAGTCACTTATTGATTCAGTTCCTTCTCTTTTCAAAGATGTGCAGACGTGTACAAAGTTCCTTTATCCCTTATACTCAGGTTTTACCATATGATGAAATTATTCTCAGATGAAATCATTTTTTAAATCATATGTTAATATTAGCAAACTTTAGACCTGACTTTCATATCAGATTGAGAAGTTCATTTAAAATAGCAAAGCTGATTAATTTTCTTTCTAAATTTTCCCTTTGCAATATAAAGCACTGTGAAAGACCTTTAACACTCAAATAATCAGCCTTTAAATTATACATAAATGCCTTTCCATTAGCTTTTAGGAGCTGTCAGCATATACATCAAAAATGAAACAGTTAATTGCAATAAAGCTAAGTTGACATCACACAGTTTGCTAGATGCAAGATAAAATTAATATTTTGGGCAGGAAGGTGATGAGATGTTTCCAAAATTGCTCTTTGGTAATGAGGCAATCAATATTATCCCATGGTGCAGCATCATTATTGGTAAAAATATTTTATTCCAACATGAAGTTTTTCTTTCCTGTACATTTCTCATGTAGCCATTTGCTGTATAGAAGCTGCAAAACGTTCCTTATTTGTGAATGTGCTGGAAAGCACCTAAGTGAAATAACTTCTAAGCTAAGGCTGGCTGGTAACACAGAGAGCAATTGGAGAGGACTAAGACGTTCCTTGGATGCGCGTGTGATAGTGCAGGACCTTGTGGTAACATCCCCAGCCCCTCTGCTTTAATCTAAAGCCTTTTCTCTGCCCTCTGTGCTAGGGGGAACCTCCTTAAGGAGATGGAGGTTTCAATGGGAAGGTCAGTGAGTCCTCCTGGTGAGCAGGTCCACTGTGTTGGCAGGTTTTGAGTGGGGTCACCTCCTTGGAGCCTTCCTTAGGGGATTCCCTGTGATGCTTTTCCAGTCTCTCTGGGTAGTTCCAAGTTCCTTTGTGGGCAGTTTGTTTGGGGGAGCTCAGGCTGCCCCCTGCTACGAGCACCTGGTGAAACAGGGACTAGGACAGAAGAGCCCTGTGCCAAAAACGCCGTCTGCTTCATCCTTGGCATTTTTCAGAGTGTTCATTTGGTGGAAGTGCCCTCTGGTTCATTCAAATAGCTAAGTTACTTGCTCCTGTATTTTCTTTCAGCAGGTGATTATTTTTCCACTAACATTATTCATTTTATAAATTGGGTTATTTTAGTGAATAATTCTTGGTCGTCAGGGTACCACAGACAGTTAATGGAGACATCTTGGTGTTCAAACTGATTTATGGGGCACGTGACTCATCTCGTATAATTTATTCTTGTACATATGGAGTAGTTATTAGAATTGTTTGAGGGAGAGATGGGCAAAGCAGTGCTAGTTAAAAGTTTGCATTTCACCAGTTCTTTTGGTAAGTAATCAACTGAAACACTGAAGAGCAGCAAATATAAATCGGGTGTCCATGTAGCAAAGCCTCATTTGGTGAAAAAGTCATATGAACTTTCATTAACTTTTTGTGGCATTTGGCTCATATCTGGTAGACTACTCAGTTTTCCTGGCTGCCTTCCTCCCTTCTCTCTGCTCTTCCCACCCCAATATTTCTAAGTAGCTCCATGCAAGGAATCTTGTTGAATTTACACTTAATTGAACCCTATGATACAGAGTAGCTAGCACTTTTTTTTCCAGAAAGTGATAAATTTTACTTAGATGCACCATCTAACCTCATCCAAAATTGCCATGCTTAATGAAGCCGTGCTGGACTTAATCAGAGAGCAGAAACTTATCCTGGGCCTTGTAGAACCCTCATTTTCTAATTAAATTATCATCTCTATCATATTTAAGACCTCTGGTAAATGCATAAATATAGAAATGTGAGAAATAGAGAGAGAGAACCTCCAAAGCACACGAGAAAGATAAATTACTGCTTGCTTTGCAATGTGTATAGCTTAATGCCCATTTAGGTTAATGCACAGCTCTTAAATAAGCAGGAAAAAGTGCCGTCGGAAGAAAGCAGCCACAGCAGCGCTTCGTGCTGCCTTGCAAGGACCCCGAATGGCTGGGCAAGCGGGAGCTGATAAAGCCTTTGCAGCGAGTGAAAAGTACTGCAGTTAGGTAAAAAGCAACATTACCTTCAAACAGCACATAGGAGCACAGAGGACTTAAATGTATTTGCCAGCTCTTGCCAGTGGAGCAGGGCCGGGGTCGCACACAGCTCTGAGCAGTTTCTGGAGCCCCGGAGAGGGAGGCAGCGAAGGGCCAGGGCGGGCGGCGCCGCTGCCCCCGGGAGCAGCTCCTCGTGCCTGCCACGCTGGGCCTGCGAACTCCAGTAACTTCACCTAGAAACTAAGCTGCCCAATACCATTTGGAGCAATTGCATTTTTTGTTGCTTTCTCTGATGCAACTTTTTTTTTTGGGGGCGCTTACTCAGCGTTTCTGTCATTTCTTTGTTATTAAAACTGTCCTGTTCTCATCAATGTCCAACCATTTATTTTAAAATAGACCTGTCCTCCGAGCGGTGTACAGATTTGTGTGCTCCAGATTATTGAAGTGATGTAAATGCCCATTGTGCGTGGCTACCTGGTGCTGTATTGTCAATTGTCCTTTTGTCAACTTTATGCTTTTGAAAAGTGGTTTCCACTAATAGCTAAACAGTGTGGAGTGCAAATACCAACCTGAAAACAGATTCTAAAATGACTTTTCATATGCATGGCAGTACTTTGGAGTACATAGCCACTTTGATGATTAAATAGTCTGGAGCGCAAATGCCTACCTGAAAGCCTATTACAAAATGATGTTTTCTGTGCATGATAGTATAGCTTAGAATAAATAGACACTTGAATAGTATCTTTACTGCATTTCCTATTTAAAAACAAGTTGCCGTTGTTGCGAGAGCGTTGCTGTTGGGTGCTCTCCAGAAGGCGCTGGAGAGCCTGTGTGTCACTGTCACTGAGGAGATAGTTTCAGTTCTGGCTTTTGTTTCGTCTCCTTGTATTTTCTGTTGTCTAAAAACAGAACTAGTTAAAAAGGCAGGGGAGGCAAGCACTGCTTTAGCTTTTATTTTATTCTTTTTTTAAAGGAAATAAAGTCGCCCTCTGGTCTACTCAATTTACCTCGCACTAAGCAGTGGTAAGAAGTAGTAGTAAAAACTACACAAATGGCCCCTGCACCTTCCAGGCTCCCTGGCTTGTATTTTAGCAGCTGTCTTGCTGAACCCAGCTAGAAGCTGCAGTAAATACTGAGAGAAGGGCATGTGAAACTGCGGATGCGTCACGCAGGCAAACGTGAACTGAAAGCAGTAACTGTGGGGCTGACGGGGGTATTTTCTGTGAACAGAATGATCTTACAGAACTGAGTGAGGAAGAAAGTTATAGGAGGTCATGAAGATCTCTTTTGTTCCTTGCTGAGAAGCTTTTAGGGAAAAAGGGAAGTATGGATTTGCAAGTGGACTGTTTATTAGAAGATGCTTCCTCATAGATCTGAAGGAAAGGCCAAAGTCAGGTGGAGGATCTGATCTTGTATCAGTAAATTCTCCTGACTTCACAGGGGCTGTTTTCCATCAGTGATGTGCCTGGCAATGCTTTAGCTGGGTAGATAAAACAAAAATATTAGCATGAGAGAAAAGAGAACAGCCTATGGGCCTACGGCAGACTGTGCTTATTTTGATTTATGAGCAGTGCAGGGCTATGGATGCAGCTGTCTCTGCAAGCTAGAATGATTTTTTTTTTTTTTTTTTGGTTGAAATCCAGATTTTCAACAGGAGCTTGAGAATTTTGTGTGTTGCTCTGAATCTGACATCCAGGAGGCACAGGAAAATGGTTTTGGTGTTGGTGCTATCCCAACTCAAATACTGTTTCTTACAAAACTAACCTTAAAAAGGAGCCTGATAACTGTATTGGTAGAACCATAACATTTACTGTCTCGTACTGCAGTATTTGAGACTTTTAATCAGATTGGTCTCTGCCTCACCTTGGCTCACTGAAATCCCTGGCTGACAAATGCAGACTTTGTGGAGGGAGCTCGGGGCTGGGTCTATTGGACAGGCAAGCACCAAGAATCTCAAAGTTAGAAGGGCATTTAACTTCTTGCTTTCTATTTAATGTTGTCTTAATGAGTATTTCAAAAAAAAAAAAAAAAAAAAAAACCCAAAACAAAAACAAAAAAAAGTCATGCAAAAACATGTTTGCAGTTTAGAGTTTTTTGCTATCTATATTCCTACATGTCCCATATCTGATAAAGGAGAGATTAGTTACAGTGCTATTGAATGCATTCTGCTCATGTAGACTCAGTTTCCTGTTAACAAATAGGCATTTGTTCAGCCTAGATCTTGATTTACCTATCTGCCTAACACACACATGCCTGCTGGTGAGCTGATCTGAAGCTCTCGTGCTCTGAGAAGCCCCAGAGCTGAAGTCCAGCATAGGCGGCGTGTTTGCAGGAGCAAGAACACAGCAGTGGTGAGCCCTTTAGACTAGCCCTTTGCCTAACTCTACCCTGTTATTTATGTTTCAATCAGTTGGAATCAGAATTTGGCATCTATTAAAACT